GTGTGGAGCTGTGTGTTTGGGTTGGTAAGTGGGCCCGTGTGTGCACACGGGTGTGGTTATTAGGAGAGGCCCTGATGTGCCCCCAGCCCCGACTCCTCCCAGAGGCCACCTTGTCCTCAGGTCTGCCATGGAGGGGCCTTTGCTCCTCCCTCAGGGGTACCCGGGTGCCTCCATCTGGCTGAGCCCAGGGCTTCCCCACCCTCAGGCTAGCTGAGACGCACAGCCTGCAGCTGGTAGGGACTCTGCTCCCAAGGGAGAGACCCTTCCAGACCCTCTGGCCAGGCGGGCAGGTGGCACCCGTGTGCATCTCTCAGAGTGAAGCCCTTGCTGACCCCCAGCCAGCGGTCCTTCTGGCCCCTGTCCTTCCCCAGTCCCTCTCTCTCCCTCTCCCACTTGCTGGCCAGGTGGCTGTCATATCCTCCTCTGTAATTATGTATTTATGTGACTGTCCCCCACCAGGTGGTGAGTCCATGATTACACAATATGTCTTGTACCGTGGTGCCTGGGCTGGGCCTCCAGGACCTACAGCCCCCACCTGTCATGTCCAGAACCAGGTTGCCACATGCAGGTGTTTTCCTGAGGAGAGGGCCCAGAGCCTTGGTTTTCAGGGTGTTGCCACCCCTTTTGCAGGTGCAAAAGTTTTCATCTTGCCTCTTGGGCCTCCCCTCTGATTCTCATCCGATTACAGTGGGCGGGGTCGGGCCTCACTGTGTGACATTTGGATTTCCGTGGGACAGATGTGTGGCCAGGGAGAAGAAGGCTGAGCTAGAGGCAGGGGTGCTGCTCGGAGCACAGACCCGGATCCCCACCTGAGCGCAGTCCCAGACCCCTGCACGCGGCAGCCCAGGGAGGAGGTGCTAGTCCTGGGGGGGAGCTGGTGATGGGAGCACCCCTGCTCTGGGACTTGGCTGTGATCTGAGCCCACGCAGGACGGGCGGGCATGTGGGGGTTCGGGCACGGGGCCTCGGGCAGGACTTGGAAGGGTCTCGCTCACCCTTCCCCGCTTCCGCCTCCTGCCCTTCTTGCTGAGCCCATTTCCTGGGTTGTAAACCCCTGTGGCCTTCTTGACTCGCCTCTGTCCTGGAAGACAGTCTGGTGGGGCTGGACTCCCCGCCAAGCTGCTGCCTGCCTGCCTGCCCAGCCCAGCAGCTTCCGCCGCGCCTGGCCCCCTGCCCTGCTGCAGCTCTGCTGGGACCGGGCCTGCTTCCCGCTGCCTGCGCTGTTTCCCTGCCGCCGCTGGGCCTCCGGGCTGCCTTCCTCCTTCATTCGTCCCCCCAGGGCCTCCAGTCTGGACCTTGAACTCCCACCAGGCAGGGTCTGCATTCCCCTCTGCACGAAGATGAGATGTGCGTATCGGTCCCCAAAGGCTCGTCTCTCCAAGATATTGTGGCTTGATGGGTCTTATTTTTCCAATTTAACACAATTATTATGGAACAAGTTGCATGAGACTGTGGGAGGAAAATGAGAACATACATTCCCATTCCTGGGGGTACCCTTCTGGCCACAGCCCCGCCCTTTCCCCTTGTGGACACGTACACAAGGATGCGTGACACACACGTGTGTCCTCTGCGGCCCAGGAGCTTCGGCCACCACGGTCACTCCGGTCCTCTCAAAGTTGGCTTTTGCCTGTTGCCCTGGACTCGGGGGAGCAGGTTTCCTTCGCCCTGGAGGGGGTGGCCTGTGGGCGCTGGCCTGGCCCTGGACCAGCTTCCCTTATCTAGGCTGCTGGTCTGGGCGGGGAGGGGAGTAGGCCCTCATCCCCTGGGACTGGGATCTAGTGGAGCTAAGCCTTCCCCAGGGCGTGCGAACTGGAGGATGGCCCACCAGCCTGGGATGGATGGGAGGGCGTCTTCAAGGACAAGCCCAGGATCAGCGGGGGTGGGGGGGGGGGTGGGGGGTGTAGATAGACTTCCGTCAAGCCTGTTTCCCCGCTGCTTGCTTTCTCTGCCCTCAAGGTGTGCTTATGGTTATTGCTCCTGGCACTTGGCACACTTATCTATCTGCTTCTGCCCCCTTTCCCTTTGTCTCTGCTCCCCAGCACAGCATATTAGGAGGAGGGTGGACTGCAGTGTCAGCAGCCTGGATTCAAATCCTTCTAGCGCTTACCGGCTGTGTGATCTTGGGCAAGTCACGGAGGCTCTCTGAGCCTGTTTCTTCATCAGTAAATACCCACCTTCCAGGCCTGCACAAGGGTAAAGGGAGCTAATGCCATCTCATGGCTACTCTGCACGTTGTGGGCCTCAGAGAAGGACCATCCTCCATGTAAGTGGGGCGCTGAGACTCACACCCCGACCTGGTGCTCCCCGCTTCCGAGCGCTGCCCCCGCTGTGGGCTGGAGAAGCAGGAAGGTAGAGACAAAGAGGCACAGGCTGGTCGCCAGGAGGCCTCCGTGGGGTCTGGGCGCTGCCAGCTCCATGGCCCTGCAGTGCAGAGCTGAGGCTGAGCCAGTGGCCCTCCTTTGGGGCCTGTGGGCCGGGGCCTATTTGCATGGGAGCTACAAATAGTCAGCTTCTGTGCCATTGCTCCACCCCCGGGCCTCACCACTGGTGTTCAGACGCTCTGCGGGGTGCATGGGCGACACTGGCTCTGGTGTGCGGGGGGACCTGGAGCCTCTCAAGGTCACACACAATGGGAGAAGATGCTGGCTCATGGTGTCTGTCCCTGTGGCTCCAGGGGGTGCGGGTGGTAGAACCTGGCCAGGGCCCTTGTCCTTGGGAGTTGGGGCTGGCTGGCCGGGCACTAGGCAGCCCACGTAGCTGACGCATTCCCCTCCTGGGCGCTGCGGCCTGGCTGTGCAGGTTGGGGCTGGGGCTGGGGCTGGCGTTGGTTGTGGTTTTCCCTGCAGTGGCTTCTGCCTAACTGTGAGCAGAAGCTGGTCTGAGCGCCACTGGAGTGGGGCAGAGGGCGGGTCTGATGAGCAGCCTGCAGCGCTGGGCCCCACCTTGCCTTCCTGGGAAAACCGTCTCCTCTATGCAGCCCCAGGGCTGTCGCCACAGAGGACAGCTCTGCTGGGTGACCTGGGGGCAGGGGAGGTCATGGAGCCTGGGGGCCATCTGGCTGGGCCCTGAGGGGAGGAGGTGGAGGGAGAGCTGGCCAGCAGGTGTTTGATGCACCTGCTGCCCCGGGGTGAGCAGCTCTGTGTTCTGGGGATGGAGTTTCCCTCTCTGAGAGCAGGGGGTCAGCTATCAGGACTGTCTTCTCAGGCAGCTTGCCCACCAGTTTGCCCCCATCACTGCCATGACTGCCCCAGGAGCCCAGCCCCCACAGCCCAACTGCCCCTCTGGCCCTGCCTGCCTTCCGGCTCCATCCTCATCCTGAGACACCAAGGAAGTCCATCACTGCCACGCCGGGGGCTCGGGTTAGGCAGCACGGAGCTGAGCTGCCTGCCGGGGTCAGGCCCCGAGCATGCAGACACAGACATGCGGCAAGTGTGTGCAGGGGCCCTGCCCCCTGCCCTTCCCTCTGGACCCCCGGGGAGGCCTCACCCAGGCCAGATGGGTGCAGGAGGGGTGTGGTATGCTTCCTGCCTAGGACTTTGGGAGACTTGGCCCGGTTCTGCACAGGCTCCCAGCCAGGCCCATGCTGGTCACTCTTCAGTCCAGCTTTAACGAGTACCCACCACGTGCCACCATTCACACTGTGTGGAAACACAGGTTTCCACAGCTGTGCAGTCATATGTGCACTCACCCTCACACACACCAACCCACATTCACGCGTTCCCTGGCCCGGGGAGAAGCCAGCAGGTGGCTCTTCCTCCCTGCCTACCAACGGGTCGTGGTGGGCGGCCTGGCTGGGCGCAGGCTGGAGGCCGTGGGGGCTGCGCTTAGAGTCGCACACTCACTCCCTCTGAGAAGGAGCCAGGCCCAGGCAGGAGGCGTGGTGGGGTCTGCCCTGCCCGGCCCCTCCCCTCTTCTCTGGTTGCCAGCCTTAAGGACTGGCTGGGCCACTGGGCTGGGCTGCAGGCCGAGGTCAGAGTCTCCTGTGAGCTCATTTGGGCAGGGAGCTCCCTGCAGACCTGGTTGCTGCTCGGGGTGCTTCATGGAGGAGCTTGGGGAGCCATCCCAGGGGCAGGCATCCTGTGTGTGTGCACATGTGCTGATGTGGTATCTAAGACTGTGGTCAGGAGGGAGGGAGTGTGTCCATGGCATGGGCATGAGCGAGTGTTCATGCAGCCACAGCGATGCAGACCCCGAGCCAGTGTCCATGCAGATGTGTGAGTGTATGCCCACAGGCACGCACACGAGGGCCACCGCCACACATGGCGGCCTGAAAGCCCCTCGCTGTCACCTGCTGGGGTGACCCATGAATTGAGGAATGGTGCTGAAGAGGGGAGTGTGGGGCTCTCTGTTTGGTTGAAAAAGCATAAGCAGTGTTATGTTCTGCATTAAAATAGGTTTATATTTGGAAAAAATTAGTTGGAAAGGGCAGGCAGCCTTCCAAGGGGCTGGGGTTGAGCAGGGGCAGCATGCTGCTGTGGGGGGGCCCGGGCAAAGTGGGTGCTCCCTCAGTGGGGTCCCCGGTTAGCCTCTGGCTCAGCCTCAGGGCTCCCCTTCCCCGTCTTGTCTGCCTGGGTGGTGATGAACAAATATAAACTTTGAAAACCGCCAAGGGCTGGTGGGGCAGGGTGCGAGGAGGAGGGGGCTGCCCTGCCTGTCTCGGGCAGCATGCCCTAGGTACCTGGTGCCAGGTAAGTGGGCAGCAATTGCGTGTTAAGGAGGCATTGAACGACTCCCCAGATAAATGACTTGTCATGTGCCTCCAGGGCCCAGGAAGGTTTGGGGAGTGTAAGGAGGCCCTGGCCTGGAGTCGATGAAGGGGTCACTGCCAGCCTGCTCTTGCCCAGTGGGTCTCGATGTTAACACGGGTGGCCGGGACAACTGCACTTTTAGCCCCCTGTGGGCCCACCTCCATGTGTGGGAGCCCCGGGGGACGTGTGGGGGTCCCAGCACCTCCCAGGGCCGGCCCTGCCGCTCCGGACCTCACCCCTTCTGTCTGCATAGCCCTGCTGCAGGGCCCAGCATGGCGCCATTCCTGCGCATCGCCTTCAACTCCTACGAGCTGGGCTCACTTCAGGCTGCGGGTGAGCCGGGCCAGCCCTTCTGCGCCGTGAAGATGAAGGAGGCGCTCAGCACAGGTGGGGCTGGGGGCTGGGCCATCGGTCAGCGGGAGGCGCTGGAGGGGGCTGGGCCTCGTTCCCCTAGCACCTCAGGGGACCCATCCCCCTGCAGGGCCCAGCTGTGGGCGCAGGAGAGCAGAGGCCACTGAGAGCCTGCAGGGCCTCCGGCACCAGTTCTGTGGAGCCCTCTCTCGGGCTGGGGGCTCCGGCTCCTCCCCCATGGGTTGTTTCATGCAACGACTCTCTATATCTGCATGTGCCAGGCCCTGTGCTGGGCACCGGGGACACTGCCATGGTCCAGGGCTGACCTGGCCCTGCCCTCCTGGGGCTCACAGTCAGGTGGGGGAGCTAGGTGATGAATCTGTGGTAGGGACCAGCCCAGAGGAGGCACCGGCCCAGGCTGGGACCCAGGAGGTCTTCCTGGAGGAGGCAGGCATCTCATGCCATTCCTTCTTGCTTCTGCCTTTACCTGGTGGACCCCTGGCTCATCCCTTAGGGGTCAGCGGAGCGGTCCCTTCCTCCAGAAAGCCTTCCCTGACCCTGAGGCTGGGGCAAGCTCACCCACCACGGGTGTGTCTGGAACTACCAGCTGGCCTACTTCAGTCTCGTCCCAGCTGTGATTTAACATTCACTTGAGTGGCGGCCCAGTTCATGTCTCTACCCGAGACTGGGGCTTGAGGACAGGCACTGGGCTTGACTTTCTGCCCTGTTCCTTGCCTCCAGTACCGTGGCTGGCACGCGGGGCTCTTGGCATGTGGTCACTGGGGGAGTGGACTAGGGACTCGGGGCTGGAGACGGAGGGTCACAGGCTGAGGGGACAGCAGGAGCAAGGCCTGGAGATGGGGCGTGGTGCGAGTGAGACAAGCTAAGGAGTGGGAACCTGGCCCCAGGGACGCGGGGGGTTGCCACGCCGCCCCTCAGTGTGGGGGGAGAGCCTGGCAGGTCTGTCAGGGCTTCAGGCTGCGGGAAGAGGGGGGTGCGGGGGGCCCTGGCCCAGCCTGCCTGCTGCCCCATCACAGAGCGCGGGAAGACGCTGGTGCAGAAGAAGCCCACCATGTACCCGGAGTGGAAGTCCACGTTCGACGCGCACATCTACGAGGGCCGCGTCATCCAGATCGTGCTGATGCGGGCCGCCGAGGAGCCGGTGTCCGAGGTGACGGTGGGCGTGTCCGTGCTGGCCGAGCGCTGCAAGAAGAACAACGGCAAGGCTGAGTTCTGGGTGAGGGCGCCGTCGTGCGCTGGGTGCCGGCGCGGTTTGTGGTCCCGGGGCAGCCCACACAGCCGGGGGTCACACGCCGGCCCTGCAGCGTATCCAATCCGCGGACTCTGAGCCGTCTTCTGAGTCTGTAAAAGGAGGTGCTGCGGGAAGACCCTGCCTGGGGCCCGTTGTTCAGCTGAAGTGAGTGGCTGGACTTACAGGGCTTTTTGCAGAGCTGGGCACCTAGTAGGTGCTCCATCCTCATTGTCGTGACCACTCTTTTCCCTTTTACTCTTGTAAAGGCAGGGTGTGCACACAGTTAAACAGTCCCAGCCTATGTCTGGGCCCCAGGCCCACTTCTCCGAGCTTCATTGTTCCCAGTTCTGTCTGGAATCTTCCCAGATCTTCCAGCCCAGTCAGGCACTGGGGAGAACCGCCTATGGCCTTGAACAGAGAGGGTGGGAGAAGGAGAAGGCCAATGGCCCGCTGCTCACCTGCCCAAACTAGGGCTCTGCAGCTAAGGTGTCCCCCTTGGAAAGGAGCCTGTGACCACCGGGGACTCTGGTCAGCCTCCACTGTGCGGTGACAGGCCCGGGCCAGGAGAGGAGTTGACCCAGGGCTGCACCGACCCTCAGCCAGTCAGGCAGAGATACTCGCTGTGCATTCTGTCCACTCCCCTGAGAGACAGGGTCAGTCACCAGGCGTGGGTCCTGGGGGAGGTGCGGGTCCTGCCCTGGGAGCTCGCCAGTCCCTGTGAGGAGGCTGGGCATGCAGAGGCCCCTACAGGAAAGACCAGCAGGAGTGTGGCCATACGCATGCGTCTGTGTGTCTGCACGCGCAGGGGACAGGGTGCCTCCTTTCTAAAATCTCTGTTAAGGGGGCAGCCAGGGAGGGGGTGGGGAGTTTCCCTTCCCACTCTGTTACCCCAGCCATGTGGCAGTGCTGGGTGTGGGCTGAACCCTTTCACTTCCCCAAATGTAACAGTACCCTGGGGGTTGGGCGGGGGGTGGGGCCCTGTCCACACTGGACAGACAGGTGTCCAGCCAGCCTGCCAGGACTCCCTTGGCCTTAGGGGACCAGCCATGGGGGCGGGTTCTGAGTCTGGTTCGGCCTAGGCCTGCCCTCACTGACCCCCCCACCCCGCCCGCAGCTGGACCTGCAACCCCAGGCTAAGGTGCTGATGTCTGTGCAGTATTTCCTGGAAGATATAGGTAAGAGCCTTCCTATCTGGGCTGGGGACGTAGGTTCGGAGGCCAGAGCCAGCACAGTGGTGTAGGGAAGTAGCTCCTATCAGCAGTCTGTCTGCCCTGGGAGGGACTGTGGGGGTCCTGTGCCCCCCAGAACTGGGGCCGACCTCCCGCTCCTCGGCCCCCAGATTGCAAGCAGTCCATGCGGGGTGAAGATGAGGCGAAGTTTCCAACGATGACCCGCCGTGGAGCCATCAAGCAGGCCAAGATTCACTACATCAAGAACCATGAGTTCATTGCTACCTTCTTTGGGCAGCCCACCTTCTGTTCTGTGTGCAAAGACTTCGTTTGGTGAGGCTGTGCCTGCTGGGGTGGGGCAGGGGCAGAGAGGGCCCCTATGCGGGGGGCTCACCTATACTGAGCCCTGCCTGGTGGTTTGCCTTTCAGGGGTCTCAACAAACAAGGCTACAAATGCAGGCGTACGTGTCTCCACAGCCCGGTTTGTACGCACACGTGTACCCACGTGTGCCTGCATGTGTTCTCAGGAATGCCTGTGTTTCTCTTGCTGGGACTGCGTGTGCCTGGACGAGGGCTCTGTGTGCTTGTGTGCATGCATCTGGGTGTCCCTGCATCACAGCGCAGCTGTGAACATAGCCGCTCTGATTGTGAAAGCTGTTCTCCACGTCCCTTCCTCTCCACACTCAGTGACGCTGCATCGGCCTCAGGGTGATACTCAGAAATCAGGCGCTCGTTCCCCAAGAGGCTATCCCACCTTTTCCAGCACACCCCCGGCTGCCTGCGTGGTCTGTTTAGATGTGCATGTACCTAGGTCCACACATGTGAGCGCACCTTACCCCATGATGGTGCCTGCACGGGCAGGTGGGCTGGCTGTTATGAGCACTACCACGCCCTAGCCATGGGTCCTTGGGCAGCTCCTTCACCTGCTCTGTGCCACAGTTTCCTCATCTGTACTCAGGATATTAGAGGCATGGTGAAGACCGAAGGGGTGACTGCACTGTGAGCGTGATGACTGCGTGTGGCAGGCACTGTGTGCACGGGGCTGGGCTGTTGTCACGTGTGCTGGGCGTGATGTGCAGGTGTCTTTGTGGTGCCTTGAGTCTGTGTGTGGGCTTGCGAGAGAGCTTAGGGGCTGGTTGCTGTCCTGGGCACAGAAGAGGGAAGGGCGGCCCTGCCTCCCGTTCTCCCACTGCGCCCCTACCCCCTCTGCCTTCCCTGGTCTGAGCTCCTGGTCCACGTCCACCAGGCCCCATCCCTTCCAGGCTCCTCCTACAAGGCTGGCAGGAGAAGAGAAAAATCAAGCTCTGGGCCTGAGGCTCTGTGGGGTGAGGGTGTGGGCCACCAGGGAGAACGGCGGCTTTGTGTAGAGGGCTGGACGGGGCTGGCGGCCTCCGGCTCACGGGCTGCCTCTCCCCGTGCCTTCCCATCCCCCTTTCGGGCCTGTGCCTCCTCAAGAATGTAACGCTGCCATCCACAAGAAGTGCATCGACAAGATCATCGGCCGGTGCACAGGCACGGCAGCCAATAGCCGGGACACCATAGTGAGGCGGGGCCCCGGGGCTGGGGGTGGGGCGGCTTGGCTGGGTGGTGGGGCTTGGGCGCCCTACCCCTTCCCTGGAGGCCCGCCCTCCCTCCCCATGTCTCCTGTTCCCTCCTTGGACCTCTGGATTTCCCAGTCCCTGGTGGAGCCGTGCCAGGCCTGTCGCCATGCCCGGGGCTGGGGGTAAGGGAGTGGTTGAGGGAGGAGCTGGAGCTGGCCTGTGACCCCCAGCCTGCACCCTCTCCCACTCCAGTTCCAGAAAGAACGTTTCAACATCGACATGCCGCACCGGTTCAAGGTTTACAACTACATGAGCCCCACCTTCTGTGACCACTGCGGCAGCTTGCTCTGGGGGCTGGTGAAGCAGGGGCTGAAGTGTGAGGGTGCGTGTGCCACCCGGCTTGGGGTTGGGGCGGGGGCGCGGAGGCCCCCATCTGGCCCCTGCCCACCCACATCTCATGAATGCCAGCTCAGATCTCCACCCTCGCCCCCTCGTCTGTGGGAGAGGCCGCAGAAGGCTCCCCCACGGAACTGGCTGGCTCTGCCATTCACCTGCTGTGCACCCCTGCCCCTGGCCAGAGGCCCCCCACTCTGAGATCAGTGACCTCAAGTGTCAAATCAGGATAAGAGTGGAGTAGGACCAAAGAGTCCCCAAGGGGCATGCGAGCCAAGCACCACAGCCCTCAGAGCACCAGCAACGCTCAGCCGACAGCCTCACGGACCCTCCCCCGCTGTCCCCGGCATTGCTGATAGACAGGAGAGTCCTGAAGGGACGCTGACTTGTCTGGCTTGCCCCAAACCTTCTCAAAAGGGTTTATTTAGCATTAGTTCCCATCCCGTATCTTCCACTTATTCTTTTTTTTATCTAAATAAGGAAAGGTTTGAAGCGCCCTTGATGGCTTCAGATAAGTTTTTTTGTAAGGACAGTAAGCCCAGCAGACCCCACCAAAGCCCTGCTTTCTCCCACTCTCTGTTCCTCACCTCCCCACCCTGGCGGAGCCTGAGGCAAGGGTTCAGTTTTCCCAGAGCTTGATGGCTGCCTGGGCAGAGGCCCTGACAGCCTGCTTCCTCTTACCGCAGACTGTGGCATGAACGTGCACCACAAGTGCCAGAAGAAGGTGGCCAACCTCTGCGGCATTAACCAGAAGCTCTTGGCCGAGGCATTGAACCAAGTCGGCCAGGTGGGTGGGCACTGTGGGAACCTCCGTCAGGGCTGTGGGTCGGGGGGCAGTCAGGACTCTCACCCACTCCTTGGGGGGAGACTGGAGGGCATGTAAACCCAGGATCCCGCTTCAAGAAGACCTAGTTCAACAATGAGACACTGAAGAGGTGGGCTTGTTGTGGAAATTAATCCAGTGGTTCTTCACTGGGGGGGCCTGGAGGACACTCCTGAAGTTAGGGCACTTGGAAGCAAAAGCCTTTGTGGGGCGATGTGTGTGTCTGGGAGTGGGTGGGGCTCCAGGGACACCATATAACTTAGGGTAAGATCCTAGAACCAGTCATAAGTGGAGGCAACACGGAAACGTGTTGAGTGAGTGGTTGGAAAGGTGGGATTCAGTTTACAGAACTTTTGTTTGTGATCAGTGCCGTACAGACCTCCGAGGTGTCCCTGTGCCACAGGAGAGAGAGTGTGTGTGTGTGTGCCCTGGCTGGGGGTCCTGGGCTCTGCCCCTGCTGTCTGCACTGGCAGTGAGGGCAGAGTTATGGGTGGCTGGGCTCCTTGCTCTGGGCTGCGAGTTCTGACCACGGTGTGACAGATCATCTGCTCCTCTGACCTCCACCCCCTCCTCCAGAGATCATCCCGGAAGTCGGAGTCAGAGCCTGTTGGGATCTACCAGGATTTTGAGAGGAAGCCAGGAGTCGCAGGAGATGATGGTCCAGGTGAAGCCAGGCCCGCCTCCCCCAAGAAGGCCTCCCCTCCCACTAGGGCCCAGGAACAGCCTGACCTCCATCTGGTGTCAAGTCAGACTTGAAAGGAGGCATCACCCATGGGGAGGGGGTGCCCTCCTTTCCAGGCCCCTCGCCCAGGGCTCCCTGGGGCCCCAGGAGTCTGGCAGACAGAGGGCCGAGCTGAGGCACCACTGTCTTTTGGGCAGACACCGGGACGTATGGCAAGCTCTGGGAGGGCAGCACCAGGTGCGCCATTGAGAACTTCACCTTTCACAAGGTCCTGGGCAAAGGCAGCTTTGGCAAGGTGAGGGCCGCAGCCCGGGGGCAGCGCGGGAGCTCAGGGGCACCTGCTTCCCAGCCTACTGGCTTCTTCCTGCTTGGGGGCTTGGCGCCCTGATCTTTGGCCCCGCCCTCCCCTGCTCAGCATGCTCGCCCTCCTGTCAGGTGCTGCTGGCAGAGCTCAGGGGCAGGAAGGAGTTCTTCGCCATCAAGGCCCTCAAGAAGGACGTGGTCCTGATTGATGACGACGTGGAGTGCACCATGGTGGAGAAGCGGGTGCTGGCGCTCGCCTGGGACAATCCCTTTCTCACCCACCTCTACTGCACCTTCCAGACCAAGGTGCCCAGCCGTCTGTCATTGCCTCTGTGGCCATGGCCCTCCTCAGCCCCCCGGGCAGGGCCCTATCTCCCCCAGACTTCCTGGGGCTGCCTCCTCCCGTCATGTCCCCCAGGGTACAGTTGTGCCCTGCGTCCTGTTGGGGCTTGCCCCAGGGGCCTGCGGTGAGGGGGCGTCCTGCCCATTTCTGTGCCTCTGCTCACTGCCCCCCAGGACCACCTGTTCTTCGTGATGGAATTCCTCAATGGGGGGGACCTGATGTACCACATCCAGGATAAAGGCCGCTTTGAGCTCTATCGTGCCACGTACGTGCAGGCCGCTGGGGGGAGGAGCCTGCTGCTGGTCTGCCCACCATGCCCTCTTTCCTCTCCATGGAGAAGCCAGCCTGGGCTAGTGCTGGGGTTGGAGAGACCGCCCAGGAAGCCACGGGAAGTGGGTGAGGCGTGGCAGGGAGCGCGGCACAGACATGCTGTCTTGTCCCAGTGGGCCTCGGCCAGGGCAGCCTCGCAGAGAGCAGTCCATGCAAACAGAACCCGGTGTGTGGCCCTCCGGCTGGCAAATTGTATATGTGTGTGTGTGTGTACACACGTATATCTCTATATGTGCATACACTCTTATGACGGAATTCTCTCTTTTGGGGCTTTTCCTTCCTGCCTTGGCCGCCAGCACCTCTAGCCTGGTAGCAGGTCAGGCTCAGGTTGTCCGTGGAGTTGTCTGCAGTGTTTGCTGCCCCGGAGGCTGGCAGGACGGCCTGGGGAGAAGCAGGGTCTTGCCACAGAAATCCCTGAACGCTTTGTCTCTCTCACTCAGGTTCTACGCAGCTGAGATAGTCTGTGGACTACAGTTTCTGCACTCCAAAGGAATCATTTACAGGTGTGGGGGCCGGGGGACCCGGGGCATTTGGGAGGGAACGCGCCAACCCCATCCTATCCCCTGAGATGCTCTGAGAGGGGCCGGCCCAGCTTGGGCTCCATCTCCACTTGAATCTGTCTTTAGTTGGGTATTCGCCTAGACCTCCTGCCCCATTGCTAGCATTCCTGGTGGCCCCTCAGCTGAGCCCGGCCCGGCTCAGGGACGGGGAACTCACCGCCCATACCTGGCGCCATCGGTGGGAGCACAGTGCTGACCGGGTACAGTGTCTCCCCGCTTGGCGTGGCCTGTCTCGTCCGGAAGCCCCATGTGAGCCGCCGAAGCTGCCACCGAAGGGCTGATTCCATGAATTCCGCCCCATAAACGAAGCCCCATCCTACAGGGCATCCATACGCACTGTCCAAAAGCTAAGGCCCAGCTCTGGGTGCCAATGTGGGATGATGCCAAGATAAGTCGTCAGGTGGAAAACCAACCCATGGGCCAGTGTGGATTGAATATATTAGGGTTCAGGTGTAAAAGTTGGGGGTGAGAGGCACTTTGTGAAATGCTCATCAGCACCTAGGATCACTCCAGTGAGGGCTGGCGATCAGGGCTACTGGAGGAGGGGTTTTGCTGTTCATTCTTTGCTGGTACTTGTTACCACGTGCGTGATGATCTAGCTACACGATCAACGGCATACAGAGCGACGTGGTCCCTGCCCTCGTGGAGTCATATAGACCTGAGCCCGGGGCCATGTCTGCTGCTGACCAGCTATGTGACGTCACCTCTCCTGGGCCTCAGGGGGCAGGATGGTGTGTCTGGCACAGGGCACACAGTAGGCCCCTTGCAGGAAACCCCTGCTTTCAGCCCCCTTTTGCTTTCTGTTCTCGTCCTCATTCCCTGTCCCCTTAGGGAGAGTCCTAAGCCTCCAGGGCTGGAAACGGGGCCCCGGCAGCTAGAATTGACTGCTGATGGCTCCCTGTCCCGTGCCCTCCCCTCAAGGGACCTCAAGCTGGACAACGTAATGCTGGACTGGGACGGCCACATCAAGATTGCTGACTTTGGGATGTGCAAGGAGAACATATTCGGGGAGAAACAGGCCAGCACCTTCTGCGGCACCCCTGACTACATCGCCCCCGAGGTGAGCGGGCATCCCCCTGCCCCCCGGCCAGCAGCCCAGACAGATGCCTTTCCTCAGCAGGGTGGGGAGAGCGATGTCCGAGCCGCAGCCAGGAGCACGGTGGGGAGGCCTGGCTGGTGCTCGGGGCCCCTCCCAGCTCTGCCACCCGCTGTCCTGGCCCAGATCTTGCAGGGCCTGAAGTACTCGTTCTCCGTGGACTGGTGGTCCTTCGGGGTCCTTCTCTACGAGATGCTCATCGGCCAGTCCCCCTTCCACGGAGACGATGAGGACGAGCTCTTCGAGTCCATCCGTGTGGACACACCGCATTATCCCCGCTGGATCACCAAGGAGTCCAAAGACATCCTGGAAAAGGTTGGAGGCCCTGGGGGCGGGAGGCTGGCAGACCTCGGGTCGCGGGAAGGCCCGAAGCCTCCTGTCCGGGATGGCAGCCTCACTGACGTTCCAGTCCTAACGCTCTCTGGACATGGCTCCCTTGCCGCATTTCTGGGGGCTCCTGGCCGCATGCCCTGCCCTGAAGCAGCCTGGCATGTTGATTCTGAGCTTGGGGTCAGGAGACAGCCCTGAGCCTCAACTCTCGAGTCTGTCTCTGCTGCAAAGTGGAGGCTCTGAGAGAACCTGCACAGAGCTGTGGGGAGGAAAACATAAATGTGTGAGGCTTAGGTCTGTGCCAGGCAGGCAGCAAACATTCCATACATAACGAGCACTGTGTTTATTCTCCAGGCTGCCCCATCTGTGGCCCTGGGGCACCAGGGGCTGGAGGATCTGCGGCCCAGGGGCGGGCCTGGTTTGCGCCAGCTGGGCTGGGCTGGGCTAGACCTGCCTGGGTCCTTGGGCCTGCCTGGGGTTTGCTGAGGCTCAGATTTTCTGTGGCTCTTGAGTGCTAATTGGGGCCCCTGCTCATTTACAGCTACTCGAAAGGAACCCATCCCAGAGGCTGGGAGTGACAGGGAACATCAAAACCCACCCTTTCTTCAAGACTATCAACTGGACGCTTCTGGAGAAACGTGCAGTGGAGCCGCCCTTCAAGCCCAAAGTGGTGCGTGAGCCCGTTCCCGTGGGGGCCGCCTCCTCGGTGTTGCCCCCCATGCCTTCTGGGATGGGCATCTCCTCCTTTGCCCTGCCTCTCTCCTGCCTCATTTACGTGCTTTCCTCCTCTCCATTGTGCCAGCAAACCGGCCTCCCCGGCACGTGCAGTCATGACCTCTTCCCCCGTGTTCTCATCCTCTCTCTGCTCACTCAGTCATTCAGCAAACACTGGGAACTGTGTCTCCAGCCGCCTTTAACATACATTCTTTAGTGCCTGCTGTATGCAGGGGACTATGCTTTAGGAATCATGGTTCAGGCCTCCCTCCCTTCTTCCCTCCATCCATCCAATCCATTGTCCAGTAAATCCTAGAAATGCCAGGTGTCTGTTAGGTGCACAGCCCTGTGGGAGGCCCAGCACCAGAAGGGGAGGAGGCCTTCCTCGTCCGGGAGAGAAGCAGCCTGCATGCTGATATCATTTATGATAAAAGACAACAGTACAGGGGATGTCACAAGGCCACATATGATCAGTTGTCATTGGGAGGGTCTGTCAGCAGGAGCCCAGGGTGCAGAGAACGAGGTGGGTCTCGGAGGAAGTGAGATGTGGGCAGGGCTGGAGAGAGGAGGCCAGGCAGAGGGCAGCTGGGAGGCATTCCAGGGAGAGGGGGGATGGTTGGCACAAAGGCCCAAAATCTGCAGAGGCCAGTTAGGGCCAGAACTGAGAGTCCCCCCCACACTGAAGAAGGCGGACTCTCTCTGCTCACGGCCTTTCCCTCCTACCCCCTTTCTGTCCTTTGCTTCCTGTCCTCCGTTAGGACATGCTGTTCCCAGGGGGAGGCCTGTATAACGTGCCCCACTTTTGTGCCCTGAGGCTGCAGAACACAGCCCTACACCAGGGATGCCATTCTCGGATGCCTCCTGGGCTGGCCCTCACCACCAGGCCCGGCTGGCTGCAGGACAATCACAGCCGCTTTCAGTCCCTGCCTTTGACAGACTGGGGGATCGATTTGTTCCTGTGTATTGAGCCACAAGGCAGGTGTGCTGACCAGCAGCCCCTGACAGCGGGAAGTGGTGGGGCCATGGCGAGGAGTCCCAGGGGCCTTTGGCACCCAGAGTGGACTTGCCAGGGCTCAAGGCTGCTCTGCTCTGCCAGTTTTCAAAAGAAGCTAGAAATCTGGGTTTTTACATTTCAAAAATACAAAATTGCCTTATTTAAAAATAATTGTCTCAAATTCCATTATAACCCAGTGCTGGTCAAAGCTACTGGCCACCTACTCAGTTCGGCTGGTCAGCCCCCACCTGGAGACCTCCAGCACCCCCACTGTATCCTCAGAAGGCGAACCTTTCCTATGAACAGCCTGACAGTAGAGACTTTAGGCTTTGCCCCCCACATGGTCTCAGAGCGGCCATTGAAGATAGGTCGATAAATGGGGATGGTTGGGTGTTACTAGGACTTCACTTATGGATACAAATTTGAATTTCATTTAATTTTCATGTCTTTTTTTGACTGCTCTCTAAACTTAAAAAAATGTAAAAAGCCTTCTTGGTTTGTGAGACCTACACAAATAGGGCTGGAAGGGGTTTGGCGCGTGGGCTGTGGCTGGCCAGGCCCCTGCTCGGATCAGAGCCTACCTTCCTTCCACGCCCAGAGCCCCTGCCGACTCCCCAGGCCCCTTGGGGAACCGGTGTCTGCCTTCCCACCGCGGCCTCTGAGCCTGTCGGGAGAGACTCCCTTTCCTGTTCTCCGTAAGGACCACGCAGGCCTGGCCCAGCCTGACAAGGACTCATTCCGAGGACCTTTGGGGGGCCGCCCCTTGGGTCCCACTCACCCTCCCCCCCTCTGCCCACAGAAGTCCCCCGGAGACTACAGCAACTTCGACCAGGAGTTCCTGAGCGAGAAGCCACGTCTCTCTTACAGTGACAAGAACCTCATCGACTCTATGGACCAGACTGCCTTCGCTGGCTTCTCCTTTGTGAACCCCAAGTTTGAGCGGCTCCTGGAAAAGTGAGGTTCTCAGACGTTCCCATAATCTGCCCTCGCCAGGGGGCTGGGTCAGCCCACACGGCCTGCCCACCCAGCCCGGGCATAGCAGGCTGGCTCCCCCACCGCAGCCCCTGCCTGTCCCCCACAATAAGCAGCAGTGTGACTGTCGCCGTGTGGCTGCCATCTGCCCCCTGCCTCCAGGAGGGCCCTCGGCTCCTGGCTGGCTGGGCCCTTTATGGTACTTCCTCTGTGAACTGTGTGTGAATTTGCTTTTCCTCTGTCCTCAGAGGGAAATTGTAAATTCTGTGTTTCATTACTTGAATGTAGGTTATCTATTGAAAAAATATATTATAAATATATATATATACACACACATATATAATAGGCTGTATATATTGCTCAGTAGAAAAAAACCATGGGGAATTGGTGATGTGATCTTTTAAAAACATATATGTATATGTATATATACATTAAAAAAAAAAATTGGAGCACAAACATCTTGAGCCACCAGGGTCTTTTATCTGTGTGTCTAAATAAACACCAACGGTCCAGCCTAGCTGTCGTGACACAGTTGTCCCAGGAAGCCGGTGGCCGCCACCGCCTCCGGCCTCTCTGTCCTGGAAACTGGGCTGTTTCTTCAGCGCAGACCCCTGGGCTTTCATGCAAATGAGTTTGTATTTATGGGTTTCCTCTGACTCTGGGGCCCTGGGCCTGAAGCAGAAGGTTTACTGGGTGGCTAGGGAGCCCCGGATGTCTGTGGGGCACTGGGAGGAGGTGGGAGCAGGGGCACGTGGCTGTGTTGGGGGTGAGGGGCCAGCGTGGAAGAGCAGCCCCCCACCAGGGCTTCCCCCGCCAGCCCCCTGCCTGGCACCCCGTCTCAGGGTTCCTTTGCTGCCTGGGGATCAGGTCCCTGCTGCACAGGCCTGAGGTCTCTGCGTCCAGCCCCGCCCACTTTGCCCCTGGAGGTGGGCGAGGTGCCTCCTGTGCCCGTCTGGCAGCTGAGCAGCTGGGTCCCAGCAAGTTCATTTTTCTGGGCTGAGGTTCAAGTGTCACAGCTGGAGAGGGATGGGACGGGGTGGGGCAGGGGCTGCATGCGTGGAGCCTGGATGCCCCGTGCAGCCCACCCCCACCGCGTTCTTCCAGGAGGTGCTTGGATCCCTGCTCTGGTGCAGCAGCAAAAGCCCCGGTTTAAGGCTTTGTCCCCTGGGCTCCCAGAGAGAGACGGCATGGGGGGCCCCAGCCCGTGGCCGCCACACACACTGGCCTCAAAACCGTCTGGGGGCCGCGTGGTGTACAGCGAAATGTGGCCTGCACTGGAGCCTCTCATCGTCCCGCTGCTGCCCCGCGGCAGAGCCTGCTTCCCTCCGGGGGGCGCGGGGAAAATGCTCACAGGCAAAGGCCGCGGAGGTGGCAGGAAGGACACAGCGGCTGTAGTCAGGGGTCTCGAGGCCGAGCTCCAGGCACTCTAACCTCAGCCTCAGTCCCCTCATCTGTAAAGGGGCAATCCTGCTGCCTCGTGGAGCTCCTGGCCTTGGGGAGCCCTGTAAGGACATGCTGGCACCCCACGGTGCCAGGCAAGGCCCAGGAAAGGACAGGCTGGGCCTGGGGGCCCACCTCCAGCAGTCCGGGCTGGGGAGGCCGCTGCTGAACTGTTTGGGAGGCTGTGTGGCTCCAGGCCTGTTCCCAGAGTTGGGTAAGTGCCAGGCCTGACCCGGCGGCCTCAGGAAATGCCTCTTGTGGCTGGGCCAACTGCCATATTTTCACTGGGATCTGGGGGTCCAGAAACAGGCAGGCGGCCACCTCACCTGCCAACTGGGCGTGCAAACAGAGCATGGCCCCCCCCCGCCCCCTGCCAGTTGGAGCAGTGTGCCCCATCTGACACGTGCCTGGCCTCACCCTCAGTGCTGGGCAAGGGACATGGGCATGGCGGGCCTTGGGGCAGGACATGGCTCTGCACAGGCCCTGCTGTCTGATGCCCCCAGTCGTGTGCCCTCCATGAGTGAGAAGCTTCTGGAGATTCCTTCCCTCTTCTGCAGATCTGGATGACCGCGCCGCTGCTTATGGGTGAGGAGGATGTCTGCAAGTGTGTCCCACGAGCTGAGGACCTGGTAGGTGCTTAGTAAACATCTGTCACTTTATCTCTGTCCCCTCAGTGGGATGAAATGCTTGGGACAGCAGTCCTGCGGCCACGCACCGGAATCTCCAGCTTTCTGACTGGACGGCAGGAGGGGTGTGTGGCAGTTTTTATTAAAACCCCAAATGCACCCTCCGCATGACCCCAGATAGAGGTACGCAGAGGAGCCTCCCCCCAGGCCCCAGAGACTGGCCCAGGAAAGCCCCCCACGGCTTGGATTAAGTGGGAAGTAAGCAGAGCGCCCAGAAGTTGGGTCACTGGTTATGAATACTTTGCTGACATGGAAGATGGTTCAGGGGCCAAGAAGTCACAAAGGGCAAGTTAGAGAAGCAAAGGTCAGAGCAATTCCACCCTGTGGTTCCAGGTGCCGGCTTGGGCCGGCGCCCTAAGGTCTGGGAGCTCTGGGCAGGGCTAGAGGTGGAGGGTGAAGGCACGAATGGTGGGCTGCCTGGACCACAGGCCCCTGGCCGTGGCTCTCAAATTCAGCGTGGGACACATACTAAGAAGACATGTCCACTCTGTCAAGTTCAAGCAGCAGGTCTCAGATGACTGTGTGTGCGCTGGGACGAGAAGCCCAGGCCATCCCCAGTCCAGTCACACGGGGATCTCTGCAGGTGACCCCAACATCAGTATTTTTTAAGCCCCACAGAGGGTCCAAACTGCACCAGTATTGGGAGGCTGTTGGGTCAGATCCAAAACATGCATTTTGACCAGTTGGCTAGGTGACGCTGGGAAATGCTGCTGTGAGCAGCCACACCCTGGAAGGTGGTGCCAGCCAGTACCGCGCAGGCACTGCATGTGGCAGCTCCCACCCCTGACCCTGGAGGCCCTCTGCTCCAGTGGCAACCACAGCGGAAGGGGTGGCCCCCGGCCCAGCAAGGAAGGCTGCGGCCCAGGCTAGGCCACAGCGCCCTCTGCTGGTTGGCCAGCTTGCAGGCGCTGTTGTCCGTGCAGCCCAGGAGGACCCGCTTTGCAGGGAGTAGGTGCCAAGTTCTCCACACGCCTGGGGTCATTAGTCCCTGGGGAATGATTCCAGCAAGCAGATACCAGAGGGCCATCCTGCAGAGACCCAGAGATGCTCTGACATTTAAGAGGCTCTCTGGGCTAGTCCATATCTCAACCCCACTCTCCTGGCATTCACCCCAATGTTGCACCACATTTCCTAATAATCAGCTTACTGCTTATTAACATATCCATGACTAATAAGAGCTGGGAGGGCCCTGTTTTCCTCAGGTGTTCAAAGCAGGAACCGGGGAGCATTTGCCAGGACAGGAGGGGCTGGCAGCTCTGGGACACCCCACTGATGCTCTGGCCTCATTCCAGCAGGCTGCAGGTTTGCACTTCTGCAGCCCGGCATCCACCTGCCTCCTCTGACCCCTCCAAGCCGGATGGGACCTCGGCCCCCTCTGCACCCTGAACCTCAGACTGTCCTGTATGAGGCTCCAGGTTAGGCAGCTGGTTTTGTGTCCTTTGAGCCCCGACCAGTCCCTCCCAGGCACCTTCTTGTCACCTTAGGGCTAGAGAGGGGCAGATGTACACAACTGAAAACTGGAACTTGATAGCAAAGAACGGGAAGGGGGCAAAGAAAGGCCCCCAAAGGTCCAAGTCAGTGAGGCCCAGGTCAGGCCAGACCTGTGAGGTCACAGACATTGGGGTCCCCCACCCCCGGCTCTCATAGGATTGAATTCAACCTTTGCCAGCTGTAACCTCTGTGACTTAAGATTTGGAACTTTATTACCAGTTCCCAAAGGAGGTGTTAGAAGACCCCCAATTTCTTCTCTTTCCCTCTATTAATTACATATCCCGCAGCTCTGACAATTGCTGCCCAGCCCACACACAGTAAGCACTGTACAAAGCCCAAATCCTTTGGGAGATTTTTCCTTTTTCTTCTTCTGAGAGGGGAGTTAAGCTTTTCTGTTGGTTTCCCCTGTGATGGTAGATGCCTGAGACGGGCTGGGGCGGCAGTGCTGGGCTCTGCTCCCAAATCCAGACATTCCTTCATGCAGCAGGTGCCTACTCTGTGCCCAGAGCTCCATGACGCTTGGAGCTGTCACTCAACAGGTGTGATCGAGCACTCCCTGTGTGAGTGACACGGTGAGTCCAGCCCTGTGCCTGAAGCTTTCCCTGTGTCGCTGGAGGCTATTAACCCTCACAAACCTGGGAGAAAACCAACTATGCCTCCCCATGTCACGGATCAGCCAGTAGGGGCTCTGAGGGCAAGGAGTGCACCTGGTGGTGCTGGGCAGGAGCTCCGAGGCGACGTCCCCTGCAGAGGTGAGCAGTCGCCCACAGTCTCGGGCCTTCACAGGACCTATTGGAGTGCAGGTGGCCCTTCTCCTGGTCCTCAGAGGTCCCCGGAAGAGGGAAGTGAGCCTGGTGGTAGGGAGGGACAGCAGAGGACAGCCAGGATGGGGCGCAGGCAGGCTGAGCTGCAGCAGCCAGGACCCTTGGGGATCATGATCTCCAGCTGGAACGTCCATGGATTCACAGTAGATGTGAGGCTAGAGAGGGGGATGGGCTGGGCCAGGTGGCACAGGGAGGCAGACGCCAGGACAGGAAACCCTCAGGTGGGTCTCGTCTTGCCAATGGGTTTCAGCCCTGGGCAAGTTCGCTATGGATTCAATGTGGCAAGAGAAACTGACAGCAAAATGTTCTCGGGGTGAAAGGGTTATACCCAATTTTATTTCCAGGTGGCAAGTCAGTCACTAAAATCCCATTCATTCAGAGCAAGTCTGCATGCAGCAAGCTGGTCTCTGCCTCTGGGCCCCTCTGTCTGCACAGCTGTCCCACAAAGCCATCCTCTGGGCCTCTCTGCCCGCACAGCTGTCCTCTGGGCCCCTCTGTCCGCACAGCCGTCCTCTGAGCCCCTCTGTCCACACAGCTGTCCTCCAGGCCTCTCTGCACAGTTGTCCTGCACAGCCATCCCCTGGACCTCTGTCCTAAGTGTTGCCACCCCTCCAGCTTCTGCTCTGCTCTCCTGCAGCCTTGCAGATCCTGCCACTGCATGGCGCCCAGAGTGCTGGGCAGAGCTCTTTATATAGAGTCAGCAGCCATGTAGTGCCCACAGGTGTGCAGTGAGCTAGTCAACCACAGCCAGGTGAGAACCCTGGCCACAGGAACTCTCATTTTATCCACAGTCCCCACCCTTAGTCCTGTTTGGGCAGCACCGTGCCCCCCTGCCCTGGGTTCATGCTGAGCCTGGCACACTGTGGCAGTCAGGAAGTGCTGGTGAGTGAGCATGACCAAGTGGACAGGGAGTGCCCCCTGAGCGCTGACTACGCCCCCAGCACAGCCCTGCCCCTCTGCTGCTCCCTCCCACTGCAGGTGCAGGCAGGGTGGCTGCCAGTCTGGCCTTGTGGCTTT